ACTTCACTAAACACATTTTCTTGTAGATTTCGAGCTCTAGAACTCACTTCCGGCATCGTTTCTTTGATAACTGCAACCGTTTTTCCGGAATCGAGCGTTGAAATATCGAAATTTTTAGAAATTTTCAAAAATTCGTATTTCGCACCGATTCTAACGAAAATGTTGCTCCGTGACCATCAACACACTATATTTTTGGAATCAGCATGTCGAGATCTACATCCCTGAATTTTTTCGTAATTTTTCGACAACTTTTTTAAAAGTAAAATTTTTTCAATGGTCCCCGGTTCTTCAAATTTCGGGAAAATGTTGACATTTTCGAAACTTAACTAAACACATTTTCTTATAGATTTCCAGCTCTAGAACTCACTTCCGGCATCGTTTCTTAGATAACTGCAACCGTTTTTTCAGAATCGAGCGTTGAATTATCGAAATTTTTAGAAATCTTCAAAAATTCGCATTTCGTATCGATTCTTTCGAAAATGTTGCTCCGTGACCATCAACACACTATATTTTTGGAATCAGCATGTCGAGATCTACATCCCTGAATTTTTTCGTAATTTTTCGACAACTTTTTTAAAAGTGAAATTTTTTCAATGGTCCCTCCCCCCTTCTTCAAATTTCGGAAAAATTTTGACATTTTCGAAACTTAACTAAACACATTTTCTTGTAGATTTCGAGCTCTAGAACTCACTTCCGGCATCGTTTCTTTGATAACTGCAACCGTTTTTCCGGAATCTAGCGTTGAAATATCGAAATTTTTAGAAATATTCAAAAATTCGCATTTCGCACCGATTCCAACGAAAATGTTGCTCCGTGTCCATCAACACACTATATTTTTGGAAACAGCATGTCGAGATCTACATCCCTGAATTTTTTCGCAATTTTTAGACAACTTTTTTAAAAGTGAAATTTTTTCAATGGTCCCCCCTTCTTCAAATTTCGGCCAAATTTTGACATTTTCGAAACTTAACTAAACACGTTTTCTTGTAGATTTCGAGCTCTAGAACTCACTTCCGGCATCGTTTCTTTGATAACTGCAACCGTTTTTCCGGAATCGAGCATTGAAATATCGAAATTTTTAGAAATCTTTAAAAATTCGCATTTCGTACCGATTCTTTCGAAAATGTTGCTCCGTGACCATCAACACACTATATTTTTGGAATCAGCATGTCGAGATCTACATCCCTGAATTTTTTCCCAATTTTTAGACAACTTTTTTAAAAGTGAAATTTTTTCAATGGTCCCCACTTCTTCAAATTTCGGCCAAATTTTGACATTTTCGAAACTTAACGAAACACAGTTTCTTGTAGACTTCGAGCTCTAGAACTCACTTCCGGCATCGTTTCGTTGATAACCGCAACCGTTTTTCCGGAATTGAGCGTTGAAATATCGAAATTTTTAGAAATCTTCCAAAATTCGCATTTTGTACCGATTCTTTCGAAAATATTGATCCGTGACCATCAACACACTATATTTTTGGAATCAGCATGTCGAGATCTACATCCCTGAATTTTTTCGTAATTTTTCGACAACTTTTTTAAAAGTGAAATTTTCTCAATGGTCCCCCCTTCTTCAAATTTCGCCAGAATTTTGACATTTTCGAAACTTAACTAAACACATTTTCTTGTAGATTTCGAGCTCTAGAACTCACTTCCGGCATCGTTTCTTTGATAACTGCAACCGTTTTTCCGGAATCGAGCGTTGAAATATCGAAATTTTTAGAAATCTTCAAAAATTCGCATTTCGTACCGATTCTTTCGAAAATGTTGCTCCGTGACCATCAACACACTATATTTTTGGAATCAGCATGTCGAGATCTACATCCCTGAATTTTTTCGTAATTTTTCGACAACTTTTTAAAAGTGAAATTTTTTCAATGGTCCCCCCTTCTTCAAATTTCGGAAAAATTTTGACATTTTCGAAACTTAACTAAACACATTTTCTTGTAGATTTCGAGCTCTAGAACTCACTTCCGGCATCGTTTCTTTGATAACTGCAACCGTTTTTCCGGAATCGAGCGTTGAAATATCGAAATTTTTAGAAATCTTCAAAAATTCGCATTTCGTACCGATTCTTTCGAAAATGTTGCTCCGTGACCATCAACACACTATATTTTTGGAATCAGCATGTCGAGATCTACATCCCTGAATTTTTTCCCAATTTTTAGACAACTTTTTTAAAAGTGAAATTTTTTCAATGGTCCCCACTTCTTCAAATTTCGGCCAAATTTTGACATTTTCGAAACTTAACGAAACACAGTTTCTTGTAGACTTCGAGCTCTAGAACTCACTTCCGGCATCGTTTCGTTGATAACCGCAACCGTTTTTCCGGAATTGAGCGTTGAAATATCGAAATTTTTAGAAATCTTCCAAAATTCGCATTTTGTACCGATTCTTTCGAAAATATTGATCCGTGACCATCAACACACTATATTTTTGGAATCAGCATGTCGAGATCTACATCCCTGAATTTTTTCGTAATTTTTCGACAACTTTTTTAAAAGTGAAATTTTCTCAATGGTCCCCCCTTCTTCAAATTTCGCCAGAATTTTGACATTTTCGAAACTTAACTAAACACATTTTCTTGTAGATTTCGAGCTCTAGAACTCACTTCCGGCATCGTTTCTTTGATAACTGCAACCGTTTTTCCGGAATCGAGCGTTGAAATATCGAAATTTTTAGAAATCTTCAAAAATTCGCATTTCGTACCGATTCTTTCGAAAATGTTGCTCCGTGACCATCAACACACTATATTTTTGGAATCAGCATGTCGAGATCTACATCCCTGAATTTTTTCGTAATTTTTCGACAACTTTTTAAAAGTGAAATTTTTTCAATGGTCCCCCCTTCTTCAAATTTCGGAAAAATTTTGACATTTTCGAAACTTAACTAAACACATTTTCTTGTAGATTTCGAGCTCTAGAACTCACTTCCGGCATCGTTTCTTTGATAACTGCAACCGTTTTTCCGGAATCGAGCGTTGAAATATCGAAATTTTTAGAAATCTTCAAAAATTCGCATTTCGTACCGATTCTTTCGAAAATGTTGCTCCGTGACCATCAACACACTATATTTTTGGAATCAGCATGTCGAGATCTACATCCCTGAATTTTTTCCCAATTTTTAGACAACTTTTTTAAAAGTGAAATTTTTTCAATGGTCCCCACTTCTTCAAATTTCGGCCAAATTTTGACATTTTCGAAACTTAACGAAACACAGTTTCTTGTAGACTTCGAGCTCTAGAACTCACTTCCGGCATCGTTTCGTTGATAACCGCAACCGTTTTTCCGGAATTGAGCGTTGAAATATCGAAATTTTTAGAAATCTTCCAAAATTCGCATTTTGTACCGATTCTTTCGAAAATATTGATCCGTGACCATCAACACACTATATTTTTGGAATCAGCATGTCGAGATCTACATCCCTGAATTTTTTCGTAATTTTTCGACAACTTTTTTAAAAGTGAAATTTTCTCAATGGTCCCCCCTTCTTCAAATTTCGCCAGAATTTTGACATTTTCGAAACTTAACTAAACACATTTTCTTGTAGATTTCGAGCTCTAGAACTCACTTCCGGCATCGTTTCTTTGATAACTGCAACCGTTTTTCCGGAATCGAGCGTTGAAATATCGAAATTTTTAGAAATCTTCAAAAATTCGCATTTCGTACCGATTCTTTCGAAAATGTTGCTCCGTGACCATCAACACACTATATTTTTGGAATCAGCATGTCGAGATCTACATCCCTGAATTTTTTCGTAATTTTTCGACAACTTTTTAAAAGTGAAATTTTTTCAATGGTCCCCCCTTCTTCAAATTTCGGAAAAATTTTGACATTTTCGAAACTTAACTAAACACATTTTCTTGTAGATTTCGAGCTCTAGAACTCACTTCCGGCATCGTTTCTTTGATAACTGCAACCGTTTTTCCGGAATCGAGCGTTGAAATATCGAAATTTTTAGAAATCTTCAAAAATTCGCATTTCGTACCGATTCTTTCGAAAATGTTGCTCCGTGACCATCAACACACTATATTTTTGGAATCAGCATGTCGAGATCTACATCCCTGAATTTTTTCGTAATTTTTCGACAACTTTTTAAAAGTGAAATTTTTTCAATGGTCCCCCCTTCTTCAAATTTCGGAAAAATTTTGACATTTTCGAAACTTAACTAAACACATTTTCTTGTAGATTTCGAGCTCTAGAACTCACTTCCGGCATCGTTTCTTTGATAACTACAACCGTTTTTATTCGTTGAAATATCGAAATTTTTAGAAATCTTAAAAAAATCACATTTCGCACGGATTTTAACGAAAATGTTGCTCCGTGACCATCAACACACTATATTTTTGGAATCAGCATGTCGAGATCTACATCCCTGAATTTTTTCGTAATTTTTCGACAACTTTGTTAAAAGTGAAATTTTTTCAATGGTCTCCCCTTCTTCAAATTTCGGCCAATTTTTGACTTCTTTTGTATAAGTTTCGAGATGTTTTAATAATTTGAATTTGAAACTGAATGTTTGTGAATTTTTAGACATATTTTTCCGTCAAAATAACTTACATTTAAAAATACTTATTAATGCGCAAAAAGCCAGTACATTACAAAATGCATTTTATTCAGTCGGTTATCTCTGTCGGCATTTTCAGTGAACATAAAAAATCTTAATTTGACTGCAAGCATCAAGCGCTCAATTCCGCGTAATTACGACTGCTAATTTTAAATGTGCCCCTAAAGTTCTTTAATTGCATCTGGTGCAACCACTGAACCATTCTGTTTACTCCAAATTCCGTTCCATTTAGCGAACATCGGTGCACATATCTTTTTATGACTGCACTTGAAACCGAAAGTTTTTGTTTATGCACATTTACCATGCATAAAATTTATCAATTTACCCGATAGCAAAAAAAAACAAACTGTAATGTGTTATAATTTATTACAACGAAAAACCTGTTCACCTATTTCTTTGGTCAAATATTACTTAAAGCCAATAAATTAATTCCAGGCTCAGCTCTACAACGCCATCGACATGCGAACCGAACGGAACAAATGCTCCCTCGAGTTCCGCCTCATGGACGAAGAGCGCACCACCAAGAACTACTACACTTTACTTAAGTTTTTATAATTTGTGGAAAATAGAGGAAAACGCAGTTGAGACCGTTAATTAACCCATTATGTCATCATCACTTAAGCCATATATCACAATTTAGCCTCATTTGATTGGCATTCACGAAATAGAATTTCTTTGAGTTCACCAACTCGCACACTTAGTGTAATTGCTAAATGGACGTCGTTAAGTGACAGCGAGCCTACGTTTGGTAAAGTCGCGTTTGTAGAGAGCGCATTTGCATCAGATGCGGATCTTAGATAAGCAAAGGTAAGTGAACAGTCTTATGCGGCGCACCTGGAGCCGATTTTTCGAAATTATCAGGCCGGCGCTGGATTCGTCGTCAAAGTTATCGGCGATGTAAAATTTTAATGTTATTGGTGTGTTGACGACGCTGGAAAAAATTAAACGCATTTGTAATGAGTCAGGAGTCGAGATAACGGTAGGTACATGAGCAGATTGTTTTCTTTGCTTTTGTGGATTTGCTTAAACTATTGGTGTTATAAAGAGTACTATAATTTTGGGGTCGTCGCGAATTTCAAAGCATTTTTCCGCGGTGAGCGTTATCACGGCTATATGGTTTGTTAATAATAGTTGAGAGATAAGTTGGTTTATAAATGGTGGGTGAAAAATGATCTCGACAGTTCCAGCGGTTCGACTGTGAAGTCCACCGATATTTCTCTTGCGTAAGTAAAACACTATTTAACTAGCGATTAATTTTTAATATAGTTATTTACTAATAGTCAATAATTATAGTTAGTTTTGTAATTTTTAATTTTTTAATTGGACTGTTGTTTTTTTTCGATCGAATTAAATATGTCGAGTGCCGGTTTTTGTGTGTGGTGATTATTTTTATTTTCATTTTTGTGTTTCGTAAACATAACGGAGATGAGAATTTTTTTGGATGAGTGTTTTATTGGCTATTTTCCGGTTTATGAGTGTGTGGATTAGTACTTAGATATGTAAAAATCATATAAAAGTTACATCATTGCTCAAGAATTACATACATTTCTCTAATTTTAATTCCAAAATAGGCTAATTTGTATGCAGCTTGCGGCAAAAAAAAAGTGTGCCGTTAAGAATTTCGTTTTGAATCGGTACTGAATTATAACAAGTTTTTAAAATTTCGGATACGACTTTTCACCTTTTCCACACTTCCAAAAAGTACATTTTTTGTGTAAATGTTTAACCCAAAAAATTGATACAAATTTTAAATTTGCTAAAACAACGAAAAGTAGAGCAAATTATTGCGTCCAGTATTGCGTGTCTAGCGTGCAAGTTTTACTTAGGCCAAATAAGAGTTTAAATACACATATATCCTTGACAAAAATTTTCCATGTCCAAATAAGTTTTTAATAATATGTACCTTTTTAGCTCACGCAGAATAATTGTAGATTCCGTGGAGGTAAAAAATAAACTGTAACAAAAAATGTTCGTTTTCTTCAAAGTGCTTGAGAAAACGTGGACGCGCTTTTAATTTTGTTCTTTCATTAAATAAATAATATTTGTTTGAAGTGTCATAATTTTTTTTTCGATTTAGACAAAAATTAGTTTGAGCAGCTCAACCATGTTTTATTTCTGAAATTTCGATGCGACGTTGCCCCGGTATTTAAATTTTTTTGAAAATTTTGACAAAAAATCGCACTATATAGTATAAAAATATATAGCGTATTCCATTTAAAAAAACTAGGGTGTATATAGTGCTTAAAAACCGGCACGCTCTGTGTAATGGAAAATAATTTTATTGTTTACTGCTCAAGCAGCCATATAATGTTAAATTTTGATTTTTTTATATCTCGTAAGTATTATTAAATGACAGATTGAGAGACGCACGCTTAGTGATTCACTCTGTATATTAATTTTTTGAGATTGTAATTCTGATATGGACCTTTAAAGAATTTGCACACATTTTCGATCATCTTCAAAAATTACTGGCATTTTTCCGAAATCTCTAATGTGAAATAAAATGGCAAATTAGGATTTTCAAAAATTTTGTTTTTCAAACCGAATATTTAGAAAATCTTGTTCCCCACCTTATTTTTCAAATCAGTACGTCCAAATTTATGTCCAAGGATTTTTGATGATTTTTTGAACAATTTTTCAAAAACCAAGTTTTTCAATGAAAATTTTCGACGCGTTTTCACCATTTCGGGAATTACCTAAAGGGATTTCGAAATCCGGAAAATATTTTCTGATAAATTTCTTCATAATTGCCAAAATTAAATTGACAACTTTTTGACTTTGAAACCGAATATTTTGAAAATCTCGTTCAGGGTCGACATTTCAGACTTTTTGGTCATTTTGTAAGCAACTTCACCAAAGGAAAAAAGTTTTGTACGTATTCAGTTCGCTGAAAGAAACATAAAGGTGTTCCATTTCAAAAAGCTGAAATATTAGTACTTATTTGAAAACTGCAAAATTTTATTTTTTTATAAGCACTGTACATTAAGATTCAATTTTAATTTATTCCACAACAAAGTGTGTACTTTTATTTATCTCTCCACAAAATATTGTAACATAGACTTTAAAAATAACCCATTCGAGATTTTTCTGAACACTTCCAATTTCTCAAAATTTTCAAAAAAATTGGAATCTCTAAAATAAACTGTGATTATAAAGCCTGAGAAGATGTCAATACGAGTATGTAAAAGTATGTAGTGTATTGCATTTAAAAGACTACGGTATATGTAGCGCTTAAAATACGGAACGCTCTATATAATTGAAAGTAATTTTGTTGTTTGCTGTTCAAGTAGCCATATAATGTTCGGTTTTGATTTTTTATATCTCTTATTATTCACCCTGTATATTAATTTTTTGAGATTGTAAATCTGATATGGACCTTTAAAGAATTTCGACGCATTTTCGATCGTCTTCAAAAATTACTGCTATTTTTCAAGACGATAATATGAAATACATATTATGACAATTTTTAGAATTTTTAAAAATTTTGTTTTTCAAACCAAAAATTTCGAAAATCTTGCTCCGGGACGATAAGCACGCCATATTTTTCAAATCCGTACGTCTCAGAATTTTTGGGCAATTTTTCAAAAAGCCAAACTTTCAATGAAAATTTTCGACCATAATTAAATTGACAATTTTTCGACTTTGAAACAGAATATTTCGAAAATCTCGGTCAGGGATCTACATCTCAGAATTTTTTGTGAATTTTTAGGCAACTTTGCCAAAAAAGGTGTTTTTCGTCTTTATTTCCCCGAAAAACAAATACAAGGGGTTCCATTTAAAAAAAACTGAAATATCAGTATTTGAAAATTATTGTAAAAATGTATTTTTTATAAACACCTTGTTGGTACATGAATACTCAATTTTATTTACACTATAATAAAGCGTGTAGTTTTATTTATCTCTCTGCAAAATATTGTAACGGATTTTAAAACTAACCCTTTTGAGATTTTTTCTCAACCCTTCCTCTGCTCAAAATTTTCAAGAAAATTGGAATTTTTAAAATAAACTGTGATTATAAAGTCTGAGACGAGAAGATGTCAATAAGAATATGTAAAAATATATAGTGCATTTCATTAAAAAAAACTACGCTGTATATAGCGCCTGAAAAGCAGAACACTCTGAATTTTTGAAAATAATTTTGCTGTTTGCTGTGCAAGGAGCCATATGACGTTAGATATTGATTTTTTATATTCTTTATTATTAAGGAGCGCACAAGTGATTCACCCTGTATATTAAATTTTTGAGATTGTAATTTTGTTATGGACTTCCAAGAGCTTTCCTTGTGGATTTGGTTCTACAGAGGTTATTTTCGGCCCCATTTCTTCAAAAACTAAATTTTTCCGAAATCGTTCTAATATGTTGCAAATTTTGTTTTTCAAACCGAATATTTCGAAAATCTCGCCCCGGTACCATTAGAACGCCAAATTTTTGAAATTAGTACGTATATGTCTCAGAATTTTTGGTGAATTTTTGGATAATTTTTCAAAAAATTAAATTTTTCAATGAACATTTTTGACGAATTTTGGACTTTTTCGAAAAATCCTAAAAGGTTTTTTTTTTAATTTCGAACTTGAAGAATTATTTTCGGATTAATTTCTTCGAAAATGGCCACTCTTAATTAGGAATTTACATCTCAGAATGTTTTGGCGATTTTTAGACAACTTCGCCAAAAGAAAAGAAGTTTTTTACGGGACCATTTCTTCGAAAAAAAAAGCAAGGTGTTCTTAAAAAAAAACAAAATATCAATATTTGATCATTGTATTTTTTTTTTATAAATACTGTACATTAAGATTCACTTTTATTTATACCACAACAAAGCCTGTACTTTTATTTATCTCTCCAGAAAATATTGTTACAGATTTTAAAAATAAACCCTTTTAAGATTTTTTTCTAAACCCTTCCGTTGCTGAAAATTTGCAAGAAAATTGGAATAACATCGCAGGAAAATTTCTAAAATAACCTGTTATAAGCCCGGAGAAAATGTCAATAAGAAATGTAAAAATAACGAGCTTATGTATAGTACGTGACAACCAGAACACTCTGTATGATTGAAAATAATTTTACTGTTTGCTCTTCAAAGATCCGTATAACGTTAAATTTTTACTTTTTATATATCTTATTATTAAATGAGAAATCGAGGAGCGCACGATTAGTGATTCACCCTGTATATTGTTTTTTAAGATTGCAATTCTGATATGGCAATTTTTAGGATTTTAAAAAATTTTGTTTTGATTTTTTAAATCAGTACAAATGTATGTCCCAGAATTTTTGGCCAGTTTTTGGACAATTTTTCCGGAAACTAAATTTTTCAATCCAAATTTTCGACACATCGACCATTTCGAAAATTAAAAGGGATTTTTTTTAGATTTTCGAACTTCGGGAATTATTTCCGGATTAATTTATTCGAAAATAGCCACTTTTTTTCAGAATCTCCAAAATGAAATTGACAACTTTTCGACTTTCAAACAGAATATTTCGAAAATCTCAATCAGGTATCCACATAAACTTCAAATCTATAATTTCTAAAATCTTGCTTAACACGCTATAAATATTTTTAGAATCACTATGTCGAGAAATAGGTGCCA